GCATTCCTTATCTAAACCCTAGTCTCCATTGGTGAGTTTGAGTGATTGTTGCCTTGTGAAGGGACTTTTGGTGCACATTGGAGCAAGTGGAAGAAGGAAGGGGTTGAAGAGCTCAAGGAAGGGGACTTAGATCCAGAACACATTCATTTGTGGTCACCCATTCTGGTAATAAAGTTTCCATCTTGATTATTGATCTATTAGATCTTGTTTGTCCCTAAATTGTTGCTTTTAAGCCCTAAAACCCCAAATCCTTGGTAGAGAAACCTTATGGTTGGGCTATACTTCAGATCTGGACCCTCATTACCTTCTAGAGTTGTAAAGTCTCAGTTATGTTCGTGATTGAGGTCCCTCTTGAGCTTAGAACCCCATTAAGAGCTTAGTTTTGACATTTGTAGCCCTTAAAGCTATGCATGCATGTAAAGTTTGCAACTTTACGTGATAAGCATGCCCTAGAAGCCTAGATCTGTGGTTTGGAGCCGCTGTATGGCTCAAACCAGGTCTGTATGGAAAAAGGACTGAATGAACTCGGCGAGTAGAACGCTGGACTCGGCGAGTCCTATGAACATAGCTGTGAACTCGGCGAGTTGGTTGAGCAACTCGGCGAGTTCGTTGAAGATTGCCTTGAACTCGGCGAGTTGTTAGAAGACTCTGCGAGTTGGCTAGGGTTTCTTCCAAATCTTGGCCACGTATGAACTCGACAAGTTAAAAAGGGAACTCGACGAGCCAATCAAGGATTTCACGACTTCTCGAGTTCAGGAAGGACTCGACGAGTCGGTGATCTGCACTCGACGAGTCGAGTCAACATAGACTGTTGACTTTGACTGTGGACTTTGACTTGGACCAAGAGTTGACCAGTTGACTTCTGATGGTTTATGGTAATTGGGAGATTTATGAAAAAGGTTTGTATGGTACCTATAGGTGGTGGAGTTCGTGTTGGACCCAGGAGTTGAGCCTTCTTATTTCCGACGACAGTTGTGAGGTGAGTTATCCTCACTATACTATGGGGTCTAAGGCACCAAGGCCGGCCCATTGGATATGATATCCTAGTAGTTGTATTATGTTGAGTATGAGTTAGTTATGCATGCTAGTTTGATACGCTAGAGGGTAGGTCTGTAGGACTACCTGTGATACTGATTGATTGTCTGTATGTGCATTATATGTTACATGTTGATATGTTATGTGGGATGGGTTGAGGTTGTACTGCTCCGTGCTGTAGCCAACAAACCCTAGAGTATTCCAGATATGAGCTGAGGGCCCGATAGGCATTCCAGACTCATACTGAGGACTTGGGAGCATTCCAGATACGAGCTGAGGGCCCGGTAGGCATTCCAGACTCGTACTGAGGGCTCGGTGGCATTCCAGATACGAGCTGAGGGCCCGGTAGGCATTCCAGACTCGTAATGAGGGCTCGGTGGCAATCCAGATGTGAGCTGAGGGCCCGGTAGGCATTCCAGACTCACACTATGGGCCCAGGGGTATTCCAGTTTGTAAAGCTGTGGACCCGTTATGTGCTATTCTGCTCAGTTTGTTATGATATGTCATGGTGTGACATGGTTATGTGGACTGTATGTGTATCAGTATTTTGGGGGTAACTCACTAAGCTTTCGGGCTTACAGTTTCAGTTTATTGTTTCAGGTACATCAGGGGATCGCGGCAAGGCGAAGGCATGATCGTACAGCTCCTCCTATTATGTTATGTTTCTGGGAAAACTCTGATATAAATGTATTTTGAAAACAAAGTTGTAATGTTTTGATAAATTCGACATGTTTTGAAAGTTTAAATTTGGCTTGAATTTTTGGGTGTTACAGTTAGAAACATTACCTTAAAAAGTATTATCTTGAGTTATTTGATGTAATTAGATGCTATTGTTTGTATTGTAAAGTGTTTAATATGGTTTCAAAGTGTTTAATTTTGTTAGTGACTTAATGTTGGTCATTATGGCTTTAGCTTAATTAGGTTATTAATAGCAACATACTTTTAGTAATTTTAAATAATTATGAAGTAAAGGTGAATTAATTAAAATCAAATTAAATTAGTTTTAAAATCAAATTAATATTAATATTAAAATTAAATTAAATTAAATATAAAATCAAATCAATATGATTTTCTTATTAAAACACGTTGAATCGTTGATTTTTAGTTTAAGTTTCTTCTTCATAACCATTGTGAATACTCTATCCAATTAATCTAATTTTTACTTCTCGAGTATATATTTTTTTATATACTTGTGAATACTCTATCCGTTCTCGGGTATATATTTATTTATCTAGCACAAATACAATCTAACTTTCGATAACTACATATATAATATAATTTTTAAAAGTGAAACAACGATGACGATCGATAAGAGTTGGATTAGAGAGAACCAAATTTCTTCAAAATACTTGGAAGGTCTTAAAATCTTTATGAAGATTGCTGAGAAACATGTCAACTCTAAAGGCAAAGTGCGTTGCCCGTGTAAAACGTGTGTGAATTCGTATCGACATGTTTTGCCTACGGTTTTATGCCCACTTACATGACATTGGGTTTCTAGAAACATATACTACGTGGATTTATCACGGTGAGAAACATGTCGGTTCTTCGGATTTAAGCTACAATTCGACTCTAAGAACAAACACACCCACAAGTAATGAGATGTTTGATGTAATTGATGATGTTATGGCGGAACAAAATACAAATGAAGAAAATATAGACGAGGAGGGACGAGGTATAGACCCCGAATTTGATGATTTGTTTGAGGAGCTCAATACCAAGTTATACCCTGACTGTAGCGATATGTCTGCCTTAAACTTTTTGGCAAAGTTGTTGCATATTAAAGTGATCAATAGATGGACAAATAGTTCATTTGATCAACTTGTAGAGTTACTAAGAGCTGCTTCCCGAAGAGCAAGATTCCAGCTTCACACTATGAAGCTAAAAAGAAGTTGAGAAAGATAGGGTTAGGATATCAATCGATCCACGCTTGCAAAAATGATTGTGCTTTGTTTTTGAAGGAGAACGGTTCCATGCAAAATTGCCCGATTTGTAAGGAGAGTAGATGGGTGGACACAACTACAAAGGGGAAGAAAGTACCACAAAAAGTGTTGCGATACTTTCCTTTGACTCCAAGACTTCGACGAATGTATAGCTCCAGATTCACAGCTAAAGATATGAGTTGGCATAATACTGGACGCTCAATAGATGGTATGATGTATCATCCGGTTGATGGGAAGTCATGGCAAGATTTTGATCAAAGATATCCAGAGTTTGCTAAAGAACCTAGAAATGTTCGTCTAGGTTTGGCTGCTGATGGCTTTAATCCATTCGGCAACTTTAATAGTACTTATAGTACTTGGCCGGTTATATTAACTACCTACAATACACCACCATGGATATGTATGGAAGAGTCTTCTTTCATGCTAACTTTGCTGATTCCTGGCCCTAAATCACCATCAAAGGACATTGATGTTTTCTTGAGGCCTTTGGTGGATGAGTTGAAAATGTTGTGGTCTGAAGGAGTCCAAATGAGAGTTGTGGAAGATGTTCATCATCGAAAACTTTGGGATCATCCAAGTATCGGTGTTAATGAGATAGATGTGGTGAATGACACTCGATCAAATGATTTTCCCTTGGCTGTCGATTTAGGTGATGATGATGATGATGATACATACTCCGTTGACGGTGATGATATGTACTTTTTAGATAATAATGATGATGGTGAATCAAGTGTGGCTCCTACTATAAACGATGATAGTTTCTTTAATGATGATGATGATGGTGGTGATACGTACTCTTCAGATAATGATGACGATTTCATAAACGATGACGAATTTATTAATGATGATGTTGTACATGTATATTGTTCTAGTGATGATTCTGATTGATGGTATGTTACGGTTGTTATACATTTTGATTGCTTAAAAATTGTTTATTATTTTTTTTAAAAGTACGTTTAGTATATTTTCTAATATTTGTTAAACAGATGGCTACACATGTTGCGAGGGGGCATGGAGGAGACGGCGGGGAACGACCTCCACATGAGCGTACAGGCAAGATACCGACGGGTTGTCAATCTTGTAAGTTACATGAATTTCTTAAATATATTGGATATATTTTTAAAGTTTTAAATTTCTAAATTTTTAGTTCTATGTGTCAATGTAGCAAACTCGACGCGTCGGCGTGGAAAAGGAAGATGCTTAAATATGCGAAAAAAGTTCAAGCACAACGGTCAACCTTTACCTGTGGAAATTGATAGCGTCGGGGGGACCTATAGATTCATAAATACAAATGGCAAAATGTTGACAAGGTTTATCTCAAACTTTGTGGCAAATCATGTACCACACTTATCCAAACGACAAGTCGTCTCTATAGTGTTACACTTTTACCGACGACAAGTCGTCTCTATAGGGTGCGAATAAAACTTTTTCTAATTTCCTCGAAAATCAATCCCGACGACCCTTTGCAGACGACATGTCGTCTGGACTGACTATGCTATCCGACGACACCTGTACCGACGATATTTTCGACTTTTACCGACGGACCTATACCGACGACTTTTTACAGACCACATGTCGTCTCTATAGGCTTTAGCGACGACAAGTCGTCTGGACAGAGCTCAAAATTGTCGTCTGCATAGTGTACGATCCTTGTAGTGATACTGCAATCACATGGTTGCCTGAACAAGTGAGTGACCTTTATAACCTACAAAGCTTATTACTTCATGGTTGTCATCACTTATCTGACTTGCCAGAAAGTTTTGTTAAGTTAATAAACTGGCGACATCTTGACATAAGTGATACCCTAAAGTTGAAGAATATGCCCTTAGGGATTGGTGGATTGACGGGTTTGCAAACTCTAACCAAAGTCATTATTGAAGGAGACAACGGGTTCAAAATATCCGAGCTTAAGGACTTATCGGACCTTCAAGGCGAACTTTTCTTGACTAGTCTTGAAAAGTGATACATCCACTACAAGCAAAGGATGCCAACTTACATCAAAAGAATGGTCTTGATGATTTGCGTATGGAGTGGAGTGATGTCTTTGATGATTCTCGGAATGAGATGATTGAATATCAAGTACTTGAAGGGTTGAGGCCTCATTATAAGTTGAGAGAACTTGGGATTGTCTTCTACAAGGGATCTATGTTCCCTAGTTGGATCACTGATCCCGCATTTGATGGGTTAACAGAGCTTACCTTACGTGGTTGCAGAAGTAACCATTTACCAACACTTGGACAACTACCATCACTTGAAAAGTTGTTTGTTAAAGGGATGAATGAGGTGAAGACTCTGGGTTTTGAGTTACTTGCACCTGATGATTCTTTCCTTGGCATTTCATTTCCATCACTTGAAGTTTTGGAATTTGAAGATATGCAAGGTTGCGAGAGATGGACAACTAGTCGTCATGATGATGATGAAACATCTGCTAGATCGTTTCCTCTTCTTCGTGAGGTTTCTATAAAAGATTGCTTAAAACTAGCTGAAATGTCGATTGGCTTGATACCATCACATCAGGTTTTACACATGAAAAAAGGTTCAAAAACAGTGTTGAAACTCGTAGTTGGGAGTTCACCCAAGTTGGAGGTACGTAAGTGTAAAAATTTGGTATCATTATTAGGAGACAAAGAGGTTAACTTGGGGATTAGCATGGAAAGTCTTAAACAAGTGATATTTGATAGTTCTAACACACGGGAGAGTTTTAGTTGTCCAAATAGTGTTGAGAGTTTGGAAATCCGTGATTGTGATTCGTTGACTTCCTTGACGTTCTCAATGGAGCACTCCGACAAAGGTTTTGGTTTTGATCCCCTGTGTTGCCTAACATCTTTGACGTTCATTAGATGCAAGAATCTTAAGTCATTTCGTCATGAGCATTTGGAAAGTCTCCCATCTTTGACTAATTTGCATGTATTTGATTGTCCAAGTATGGACTACTCCTTCCCTTGTGGGTTGTGGCCTCCTAATTTAAGAAATCTGATGATAGGAGGGTTGAAAAAGCCCATGTCGGAGTGGGGACAACAGAATTTTCCATCCTCGCTTGTTGATCTAGGCATAAGTGGCATAAATAATCGAGGAGAAGTTTCATTCGCAGTGGAAGAAAATGTGATGAATACTACTACTTCATTACCTTTTATGCTTCCTCAGTCCCTAGTTTCGTTATCAAGCTTTGGATTTTATACTCCTGACTCATTCTCGGATGCCGTAGAGCAACTCCCATGCCTTGAAAATCTTACTGTTTTGGATTTCCCATATTTCGACTATGGGGGTCACCTGGCTTCCCGCAAACCACGTTTGAAAATAAGGGTGTGGGGGTATTAATAAAGGTATGTTATCTCATTGCCAATCATCCATGTCTCTTACGTAATTATTGCTATTAATTTTAATAATAATCTTATAATTAACGTTTTTTTAACAAATGTGCAAGCGGGTTTTAGATCTACCACTAATATCTTTCTTTGGATTTATAGGTATTACGTTCCTCCTAGAAAAAACATCATAAATTAATTTAGTTTTTCAATGAAGGCAATATTCCTTCTTGAGTATGGTATAATTTTTGTATTTTTACTATTCAATAATTAACCCAAAGTATTTGTAACATTAATTGTGAGACCTTTTGCTTTTTGGTAAACATCACAAGTGTATGACACAAAAAGACGATTTAGTTTTGCTCTTTTGATAAAGCATTTAAGCTCTATTGACATATTCTATAATGCTTCATTAAAAGGGTACTGTGTTGTTTTGTATTGTAGGGAATGAAGTTCTACAAAGTAGGAATTGATTAGAAACGTCTGGTTTAAAGGAAGTTGTGGATTCTGTGGAAAAAGTGGAAAATAGTGGAAACTAAGGACATAAAGTTAGGGCTGGTTTTATACTTCGAAGGTTACCAGAGCGCTTACAAGAAAGTTGAGTGACAAAAGTAAGATTTTCATGAAGAAAATATATAATCTCTATTATCATTTTCATTCGAGAATATTTGAGAGATAAAAGATTGAAATTACAGAGAGAAACAGAGTCTGATTACGTTTTTATCAGCTTCATGGTCGATCTGATTCGCTTTATACTTGATACACTAATATGTTTCATGTAGTTGTTGATCTTCTTCATTGTTGATCTGATTCTCTTTATAGTTGATACACTAAAATGTATTCCGAGTAGATCTTCTTAATCTTCAATGTTTGTTTGTATACCCATAATTAATATCTTTGTTTTACAAAATTTTTACCCCATAAGCTACTATGATTCTTCGTGAGGATGACATCAATACCTTTCATGTTTTTTTAGTATGTAACATGCCAAGCTTTAGATAGAATTACTAAGGTGCTATGTTTGCAGTCTGCGAACCACATCTGCAGTAGAAGAGGTGGACCAAACATTTACGGTTTGAAAGAAGAAGACTGTTTGTTTTTTAATATCTACAGACTGTTAGAATAAACTAAAATACCAAAATAGGGGTGATACCATGTTAGTGACTCGCATTATCTAGACATAGTTTCTTTTGAATGTACCTAACAATATATAACGAGACTAAATGTGTAAAGTCTAACTCCATCATAAACAAGGGGTGATACTATGTTAGTGACTCGTATTATCTAGACATACTTTCTTGTGAACCATCTACTTTCTGTTGGAAATTAGTGTCCACAGTAACAGTAATTGGTAATATAATTATTAATAACAAGCTCCTTTTGGGTTTCACGCAAGGATAATTTAAGCAACAATCGAGAATAGAGAATATTAAAGAATCTAGTTTTGTAATTTATTAGAATGTAATAAAATAATGAAAACATGTAGAATTTAACAAGTTTAAGTTGTAAAGATTTGAAAGTCAAATGTTAAGAATAATTACTTATAGACCGAGTCATTATCCGGTAAGGATTCTAGATCCTCCCATATATATATATATATATATATATATATATATATTATATATATATATATATATATATATATATATATATATATATATATATATATAGGTTTCCAAAACCGGATTTAAGACATATTAATCAACCCTAAATTCGGCTTCCCTCCCCCTATTCTCTAAATCCCGATGTGCCTCTCATCACAATGCGACCCTATCGAGTTCGCCGCATGTGTGACGATCAGAAGGCTACTTCGATTTGGATATTTCCGTTCAAATGTGTTCTTAGGTGAGGGATCTATGAAGTGATTGTTTTGCTACTCTTCGGGTGTGACTACAAAAGTGGAATCATAGTTTGGATTCTATACATCTGTTGTACTTGCTAGAACAAGGAAATCAAAGGTTGTAAAGGTGTGTGGTCTTTAACCCCCTATATGCCGTTTAGTTCCATTAGATATATTTGAACTTGTGATCTCTCACGAGTTATGGAAATTTTTTATTGCCTTCGTTGTGCGTATATGGCTTATTTGTATCCCTAAAAACCATCATTAGTGTAACGCCCTGTTCCGAATCGCTTTCCTAATTCGGGACTGTGGCTTGAAGATGGGTTATCATAACGCTTAGGGCCTTTGGAAAGGAGAGATCTAGACCCATTTAGGTACGGAAGATGTGATTGAGGTGATCCGGCAGTGTGGGTTGTACCTTGGAACCAGCGGTATATCGGTAAAGTGGCAGTTCGATCACTTTATGAATTTTTTATTTTCGTTCAATTTTTTGAGGTGAGGATAAGTTTATAGATGTGTAGAGATTCTTTCCACCTTTCCGTGGATATAAAGAACGTCAAAAACGGAGTTGAAACGAAGAAGTTATGGCCTTAAGAAGTTTCATGGTTTTCAGGCTTAGTCGAGTACGTGGGGCGTACACAAAGAGTACGCGGGGCATACACAAAGAGTACGCGCGGCATACTAGTGAAGAAGGAAGTACTCTGGGCGTACCTTGGAGTACGCATGGCGTACTGACCAGGATTGGTCGCGAATGTTCTTTGGAGTACGCTGGGCGTACCAGAATTACGTTGGGCGTACTCCAGTCAGATCAGAACCTTATTTTAGGGTCTTGGACCCTGTTTAAGCTCCTTATCTCATAACCTAACCCTAATATCTTCAGCCTCCATCCCTTTAAACCCTTGAAATTGACCTTTAGCCCTCATTTGAGTGATTTTGGAGCTTGGATGGCCATTAGAGGAGTATTTTGGTATTTTTGAAGAAGAAGGTGTTTAAAGAAGAAGCAAGAGATTGAAGAGAGCTTGTAAATCCAGAGGTTTTACATCATTTCCCGCCTATTGAAGGTATAAAGTTCCCATCTTGGTGTTTCTACATCATAGATCTAGGTTCTCATGGGTTTTGTCCCTTTTGATTTCAAGAATAGATTTATGGTGCAAATCTGTTTCTGGACTTATGGTTGCCACCCATGAAGCTATTTGAGTCCCTTGAGCAGTAAAGTTGCAATCTTTAAGGCCCATTTGCATCCATGCAAGAGATCTAGCTATTTTCATGAAGATAGTTGCTATTTTTCCAAGTTTGATCTCATTTGGTGGGGTGCAAGCCACCAAGTGATCAACTTTATGGGTTAAGAAGGATTTTTGGACTCAGATCTGTAGTTTGGACGTAGTGTCTTAAGGGGTTAAGAGGTTTTGAAGAAAATGGCTTAACAGGAGATTACGCTGGGCGTACAAGCCAGTACGCGCAGTGTACAAACCATACAAGCTGTACGCGCAGCGTACAGAAGAGTACGCTCCGCGTACACTCAGATTTTGGACTTTACGTTGTTGGGCTTCGGTTTGGGCCATGCTTTGGACTTTGGGTCTTTGGGCCTTAGTGGGCCATCAGAAGTCAGATTATTTGGGATGAGAGTATGTTTGGGCTTAAGGTAAGACCCATTAGAGGGATTGGGCCCATTTCAGCAAGTTGGGCCATTAGTGGGCCACTAGTGGGCTTGGGGAGCTCACTTAGTGTTGGAACTCTTATATTATGGTTTTGGGCCTTAGATATGGACCGAGTTGGACTAGGGGGTAAAATGGTCATTTTACCCTAAGGAAGATTATTGAATTGGACTAAGTGTTATTTTGGTGTTGGTAGCTCGGGGAGCCGGAGGTAGCAGTTCAGGAATTTCTAGTTAGCAGCCAGAGGTGTGTTGGCAGGATTCAGTAGTGCGATGTGAGTTTCCCTTTGTGTGAATGGGTCTACGGCCACAAAGCCGGCCCATGTAGTTTATGAGTAGGAAGACCCGGGGGTTAGCCCTAGGCAATATGCATGAAAGACCAGGAGAAGGCTCCTGGCACTCGGTATGTTATTATGTGTGGTAGGAAGACCCGAGGGTTAGCCCTAAGTAGTATGTATGAAAGACCGGGAGGTGGCTCCTGGCACACTGTATGCTATTATGTATGAAAGACCAGGAGGTGGCTCCTGGCACAATGTATGCTGATTAGCCTAGTAAAGTAGTATGTATGCTAGTTGTGTTTGTGATGCTGGCATGGAAGACCAGGGGGTGGCCCTTGGCACTTGTCTGTAAGACCCAGGGTATGGCCCCCGGCTTGGGAAGAAAGACCACGTGGCGGCCCGTGGCATTACGACAAGACTATGTACGGCACATAGCACCTTATTTGGTTATGATATATGTATGCTCATGGTTATGTATGGCATGTATGATCAGTTGATATGTATGGTATGTGGTATCTGGGGAACTCACTAAGCTTCGTGCTTACGGCTTTCAGCTATTTGTTTCAGGTACTTCGTTTCCAAAGGAAAGGAGTCGGCGATCGCAGTGCATCACACTATGTTTTTTGCAATATATGATCTTTGGGAATGATACTCTGATAATTGTTTTATGTTCAACGTTTTTCAATGTTTTGAGCAAGGTTACTAAGTGGTTTTAATTAAATTTAAAAATGAAATTTTTGGCCATGATTTTTGGGATGTTACAAGTTGGTATCAGAGCCTTGGTTTGAGGGATTCGGACATACGTCGGGTATGTCTGAACTCAAACTGAGGACTTGGAATGGAAATTTTCAAAAGAAAATCATTTTTATAAAAAGAAATTCTAAGCAAAGAAAGGGGTGTGATGCGTGCAATCTACCGAGCTCAAGTAAGTGGTTCCCAAAATACCAATACATGTTTGTTATGTGATATGATATGATTATGTGATTTGCATGCTAGATTGAAGCTAAGGATCTTGGAGAGATTCCTTTGTATGCTATAAGAGATTGTAGATTTGCATGCTATAACTGATTAGTTAGTAGTAGGATGGCCTGCTTAGGTTATGCCTGATTGTATGAGCCTTTGAATTACATGCTAGTATAGATCCCTGATAAGAGGATATAATGGCTTGTTTGGTTAGATTTTTCCGTTTGTCTGAATGCTGCTTGCTTTGTGCTTTGTGGGACTTCAAGTGATGGGAGTTA